GGTGCTGGGAGCATCCGGGGAGGTGCAGATGGGCTGAGAGGTTGTCCACATCCCATGCTCCCCCCAGAAACCACCTGTGTTCCCTGATGGGGAGCAGATTGCTGCCGTGCTTCAGGGCATGCGCCTTTTATTTTTGGATGGGTGCTGCCGGGTGGACTAGGAGGGAGTTTGTGCATGAGAATCGAGGGGCTGCAAGTTGTTGTCTGTTGTCCCTGGCCTCAAACTCTCCAGCCAGCACTGGGTCTGACTTTGCTGACAGCTTTATCCGTTCTTCTCGCAGGTAACCAGCCCCTCCGGAGAGGGGACAGATGCCGTAGTCATCCTGGAAAAGACTCCTTTCCAGGAAGAGAAGGTATTGGACCTGCTGAAGAAGCACACGAAGCTGGAGCTGCAGATGCACAATGACATTTACAGCACGTACCACCTCTATCCTCCCCCAGAGCTGAGCGGTGAGCACTCTCGGCTGCTTCTCATTCCAGGGTATCATCTTGGGTGTTTTATTTTTGTTGCCCGATGTCACCTGCTAAGGACAGACAGGTAGCGTGCATGCAGGGGGGATCTAAATGCTTGCAACCTCGAGTGCCTGGCCTCTCCGCCTTTTGAGCCTCTCCCTGCTGATTTCATACATCCGTTCATTATAAAACCTGATTAATAACCCAGTACGGCTCAGATGAGCGGGTTGGAGAGCTTCAGCGGAAGGGTGTTATCCTGTGAGATGGGTTCTTGTCACAGTGGAAAGGTGATTGTGGCACTCTGCAGCCGCTGCTGGAAAGCAGGGCCACTCTTTTGGCAGGCTGGGTGCTTTGATTTAATGCTGATGTATGTGTTTAAATTCTGGAAGTGCAGTGATTAATTACGTGTCAACGCTTCCGTAAGCTCAGTGATAGTCAAACAGGTTTAACAGAGTCAAAATTAATCAGAGTGATAGCCTTAAGTAAGAAGTTGTGGTTCCGAATTAAAGTTTTGGGATATTTGACGTTCCTTCCCGAAAATGCTCCCATTTTAGTGCTACGTCTGTGGTGTAGGAGGAAGTGCTGTCTGGCTTTGGGAGCTTGAGTTGTGCAAAACTCCTGTCAAGGACTCAAAATCAGGGGTTTCAGTGTTACAAAGCCACGTTTCAATGGTGGGAAAACACCACGACGCCGCGATTGTTGCGGATGCCCTGTGTGGGAAGATGTTAAAACTATGCTTGGTTGCCTGGAAAGATTCCTGCTTGGGTGGGTGCCTGTTGCGTTCCGGGCTGGCAGCGACTTGCAGCGATTCCCACGAGGTGGCATTGCGAGACTAAAATCCCCTGGGCCTCTCTGCAGCTGCAGCCCTACCAGTCGTGCGGGCGTTTTGCTTCCTTGTAGAGCTTTGCTGCACGGCTGTATAACTCCAGTGTTACTCTGACAGTAAAGTTTTTTATTTAATATAAGATTTATGCCAGGTGCGAAACCCCTCGCCAAGGTGAAAAGGCTGTTTAAAGGGTCACGGGTCTCTGTCAGTGCTGCGCAGGGCCCTGCTTTTTCCGAGAGGCTGGAGTAAAACCAAGGGAATCTGGGTCTTCTCGCATCCCGTTTCTGCGACTTGGTTAAACTAAGTCCTCGCTGGGGTTGTTTCTGTGTGGCCTGCCCTCTGTGCCACGACTCTGCCCCGTGTAACCACACTGTTTGTTTCATGAGAGCTTCCCTTGAAGTGACTCAGAGCCAAATAACTGTTTTTGCGGGCATGTTGTGTGAGCTGCTGGCAGGCAGCTGGGCTTGCACTGGAGGAAATGGTCGTGCACATCAAGAGGGGAAGGAAATTGCCCTTCTGAGCTGAGTCACGGCCCGAGGAGGGAGTCGATGCGAAGAATGCAGTTCATAAACCTAAAACGAAGGAGAAATTTCATGTAAGGCTGCAGGTAATGTCAGGGCTTGTGAGAAATCCCTGGATGTCGAGTGATTGCGTGGAGACCCACTGAGCCCTCGTCCGGGGTCTAACTCGGCCTCTTGGTTGCAGGGTTAGACACACATGGGGTTTTATCTCCTGGCATTTGCAGGTTTACACCTGGCTTACATGATGCAGTAAAAGTATTTTGTACAAAATGTCAAACTTTGGCATTGAGCAAGTCCTCCGAAAAGTCTTGCGTTGCGGTGTTGCGCAGAAGAGGATTTTACCCTGGGGATTTCACAGCAGCCCGGGTGGCCAAGCCCCCCCTGCCCAGCTTCTTGCTTTCTAAAGGTAAAGTAAACCTCCAGACCGAGGAAATCGTGACCGCAGGTGACTTGTGACATCGGCCACATTGATGGCGCGAGGAGGAGCTGCCTCCAGGTCCCTCCGCTCTTTTGAAGCGTGTTTTCTCAATGCTGCCTTTGTGGTGCGAAGTCCCCGGGTAGGCTTTTCATTCAGCTGGAGTTTCTTGAGAGCTGAAAGTGGATATTTTCTTCATCCTTTCCCCGCCTCCTCATTTTTCCCTCTGCAGAGTCAAGCTAACGCAGGCCCTGGGTGATGAAAGCTTGTTTTGTCTTGGTGGTAAAAGAGCCTGTGAGGCTGGGCCAGTCGCTTTGTTTGCGTGGAAGGTGGAGAAGGGGAGGCCAAAAGAAGCACATTACCTGAGCAAATGACTCCCTTTTGCCCTGGGAAGAGGAATTTCACTCTGCTGCAGCTTAAAGATGAGATTTCTAGGGCTGGGAGCGCGCTGACATGGGGACATGTGAAAACAGCGCTGGTCAGAAAGAGAGGACCTCATCGGTGTCTTGCTTGGCTCGTCGATTTTTACCGGCCACTAGGAGAGACATGTCAAGGCTAAAATGGGAAATAGCATTTGCAAGCAGTTTAATAATAGAGTTTCTGTCAAGGGCAATCCAAAACCACGTGGCTAAGGAGAAGGAAACTTGTGAGGGAGTTTGCAAGGAGGAGCGGTGTCAGAGAGTGTGCTCTCTGATTGTAAGTGCCCCGCTAACAGCGAAGGCAGGCGTGCGTAACTTATTTTAAGGTCACCTCCTGGACAATGCTGCGATTTAACAGGCAGCTTATGCCTAAAGGTGGATGCTGGTGGAGGAAACCTCAGCTCTGGGACTCCCCTTTACAGAGAGAGCAAGGGCTACTTTCATAGCAGGGGACAGACTTTTTCTTGCTGCTAAAGGCTCCATTGCAAAAGCCAGATGGTTCAAGCCACGCATTCCCCAATAACATCCAGCTCCTGGTGGTGCTCACACCCGTTTAGCAAGGAGAGGTCACTCTTTCAAGCCAAAAGCAGCTTCCTCTTGCCTGGCTGTTGTGTTTCGCAGCACCAAAGCCATGCTGGTGTAATTCCAGGGCTCTTATCACTCCTTTAAGGAGTCTTTACTCGCTGGGCATGGCTCATCACTGCGCTGCGGGCTGAAGCTTATTAAAAACGTCTAAAAATGAGCACGTTGGGAGACACTCTGGCTCCATCTCTCCAACACAGGGTGGAGAAATTGTGGGAGAAATGGGAGAGCGTGGAAGGAAAGTATTCAGTCATGCAGGAAGCGATCCATACCCCTGCCTTCCCGAGCCCAAAAAGCATCTAGTTCCAGGCAGCGAGGAGCTGGAGAAGCTCACGTGAGCTGCATGGGGAAGGTTGGTTTGTCTCCAGGCGTTCCCACGCTCTGCCTGCCTGTGGGGCCTGCCTAGTGAAAAAAACCTGCATTTACACTCAAATAAAAAGCTGGAGCAGTGGGAGCGGGGTGGTAGATACAGGAGAAACAGGCAGGCTGGCTTGGGGGGGGTGGTGGGAGGTATTGCCGTGCTTTGCTCCGGGTTTTTTTTGGGTGGGTAACCTGCAAATTTCCCCTTTGCTGTGGCTGTTGCCCACCGAGTCCTCGGCCCGTGGATGAGAACCAGGAGAGACAAGCCAGCCTTGGTAGAAGTCCCCAGCAGCGCGCTTGGCTCGCCCTGGCACGTACCGGCCTCGGAGACAGCATGAGCTCTTGCGAGCTTTATCCTTTTCTTTTGTGCTTTTATTTCATTCAATAATGAGAGTCCCAGATGTCCAAGGCAAAGCCGTTGGTTGTACCTGGTCGGGTTAAAATCAGGTGTTCCCCTGCAATTACTGCGCAGTTGTGATCATAAAACTAACTAAAATGTTAATGCAGCAGGGGAAGGGGGAGGTTGTGCATCATTATATTTAGAGCTGCATCGAAGGACATACCCAACGATGGGAAGACAGTGCGGAGCTGTATGCAGCAGGAAAGGGGCTTGCGGGGGGGTGAGGGGGGTGGAACCCAACTTGCAAGACTACAAATGTGACTTTGCTGCTGCTTCCTGGCCTTGGCGCCTTGGGCCTGATGTTTGAGTTGATTAGGCAGATCATAAACCAGAGCTCGGCTTCCTACTAGTGAAGGGGGGAAAAAGCACCCCTGCCCAACAGCAGAAACAGGTTGTGATTTGATAGAGGTTGGAAGGGGATTTGGCAGAGCCTGTGGACGGCACGGCGCAAAAGGGGATGGGGCATTGCTAGTGAGCCCGGAGTGCGCTTTCCTACAGGCACGAGCTCTCTGCACCTCCTCCCCATCTGCAGCACGTAGCTGTCCTGCGCCGTGGGGAGCGTGGGATAACGTGTTTCGTCTTCTCATCTCGGCAACAGCTGCCTTCAGCTCTTGTTTCCCCAAGTTCCCCACACTGAGCTGTAGTTTTAGTTTTGTTTTTTGTCTTGGGGTTTTTTTCACTCTCATTTTAGCAGGACAGAGGAGAAGTTGTGTTGTTTCTGATCAACCCGAGCTTCCTTTTCCCCTGGGCAGGGAAATAATGGTGTGGTGTATCCCCTCAAACACCCTTTGTAGGATTGAACCGCCCAATCGTTTGTTCCCTACCATCGCAGTACCTCTGCCTCCTTTTTTATAACCTCCAGTTAATTGATGTTCAGTCCTGACTTCCAGAATAAACCACAGGCGTTTCATGGTGTCCCTGGGCTGACGTTCAGGAATATGCCGCCCAATGTGACTCAGACATGAGCGGAGACAATCCCCGACCCTTCAGCAAGCTTAAAACCCCATATCATGCATCCAGCGGTTCTGTATCTCCACTTCCAGGCCAGGGTAGGTTTTGGCTGCCCCACAATGTACGTGATGCTTTAACGCACGTGGAGTCTGCCAGGAGCAGGGCGGCTTTTAAAATGGAGCATGAACGCGGCTGGTTGCCAGCAATGGAAAGATTTCATGGCGAGCCCGGTCTCGCCGTGGATGTTTCCTGTGGCTGAGCCCAGCCTTAGCCAGGACTGTGCATCCCGGCCTCCTAACGATAGCCAGGTTCTCTGGCCATTGTCATTTATGCTAATTAGCATTGCTGGGGTGTTTCAGGGTTGATGAGACCTTTAGAAGGGAAATAATCATTAGCGAACCACAGCCTCTCCCCACTCTCCTCTCCGAACATCTGCTGCACAACCGCAGTTGCACATTAAGGCTTTCTCTGATCTCGCTCTAGGCTTTAAAGTATCTGAAGTGGCTCTCCCCACCAAGAGCAGCCACCCCTGAAATGGGGGAGGTGCTGGGGAAGCCATGAAGGATCCTCTGCACCCCCATGCCAGCCAGCGCACAGCCTGCGCTTATCGCAACCCCCAGCACAGAGGGTTTCCTGCTGCAGTCCCTGCTCTTGTTTTGGGGTATAAGATTAAACTGTGGAAGTTTCAGCCTGGTATTTTCTTATCTTTTGCCTTTTTGTTTTCTCCCCAGTGCTTTGCTGGTCTTTTTAAGTGAGGAGTGGAGGAACCGCAGCCACGTCTTTTTAATTTTTTTTTTTTTAATTTTGCTAGCACTTCTAGCAGGGTGATGTAATAATCGAGTCCTGGAAAACAACCTTGTTTGAACATGCGTATGGTGGGAATCAGACCAGACTGCCCTTGTGGTTTGCATTTTCATATTTCATGTTACCAGCATTTTCCTGTGGATTTCATTAAGCTGGGTTTGGCATGAAATGAAAAGGCAGAGTCTCCCAGCTTGTGTAGCACCGACCTTAAAAAAAAAAAAAAAACAAACCCAAAACCCCACAACGTAAACCCACCCTAAATCCTGACTTCAGGAACAAATAGATATTTATATGCAGTGTCTGGCTCACATATATACATATATAGAGCGTGAAGCACAACTGTTTGGTACACTGGTGAGTGTGCAGCCCATGATTTTCCAGACCGTGGCAGACCTTGGGCATGAGCTGCAGCATTTGCAGTGCCCCAGCCGTTTGCTTCGGCTCGATCTGCTCGAGGTTTGTCCGGGCTGGCAGGGTTTTTCCTCTTTCCTGCATTGAACTTTGTAGCAGGTCTCCGTTAGCTGGGAAGGCAGAGGCACTGCTGGTGGCCTTGGAGTTGTGGCAGGGCTCTGTATCATGCACCTAATCTTGGCTGAAGGGGGATATTTTCCCAGTGTTTTACCACTGCAGGTAAGATTTACTGCTGCCAAGGTCAAAGCTGCCAGGTTGACGTGGTGTGCAATTGCATCCTGTTTAATGCTGCAGAAATTACGCAGCAAAGTTTTAATCTCAAGGTAAACAGAAATTATTTTCTTTTTGCTAGAGTAAACAGGTAAATGCTCTTTGTTGGCTGGTGCAGGGAATCACCCAGCCCTCTCTCCTCAGCTTGTCCTACGCTGTGTTAACCCATCAGCCCACATTGTTTGCTCCGAGTCCGTCCCCGTACCCTCGATGCCAAGCCACCTGACGGCTGAGAGCTCTGGGAAGGAGCTGCTCCTCGTGCCGGCCCTGCTGCTTGCAGCTCGCGCGATGTCTGCTTTTGTGGCTGGAGAAAGTTGCTGGGTGCTCGCTCAATAACATCCCATGAACTTCGGATTTAAGTATGAGGAAGATGCGTCTCTGCCCCCGGGCTTGTGTTTCTGTCCTGGTTGTTGACTGCACATAAACTCTTCCCTCGGAGCCCCGATGTCACTGATATGCCTGAAAGAGCGAGTGTGGGAAAAAAAACTTTCAGACAGTGAACTCCTCCATCTGAACTGGAAAGACAGGCCCTGGCTGTTTTCAGCTTATTCTTTCTCCAAAAAAGCAGCAGCAGCCTGGGACGTTAAAGTACTTGTTTGCTTTCCATGTCTGTTTTCCCCACCCTGCTATTTTAGCAGTATCTTTTAAAAATATGTTAGTGTGGCATTTATTCAAGGGAAAACAGATTTATCAGGGACTGAAGGAAGTAATGTGGGTTTCGTCTGTGATGGTAATTCAGTAAACATGTTTTTTTCTAGAGATAAAAACCACAGTGGTGTACCCTGCCACTGAGAAACACCTTCAGAAATACCTCCGTCAAGAAGTGCACCTCATCCGTGAAACCTGGGAGGATTACAAGAATATAACGCTGCCCTTCATCCAGTCCCAGAGCTTCAGCATCCAGGTATGGATACCACTGCTTCCCTCTTCAGAGATGGGAGTCTGTGGTCTCCTCCTTCAACGCGCTGGGCTGTCAAACGTCGCCTCTGAAGCCCAGGTTGGAGGCAGAAGAGTCAGGAGCTCAGTGCATTGTCAGCTCCGTGGTACTGCACTGCTCATCTGGCTGAGCATCCTGCTGCTCAAATGTGACCACCCGCAGACTGTGTCTGCTGATCCTGAGCTGTGATGCTGCCTACCCCGCTGAACACATCCCCTTACCTCTCAGACTTTCTTGAGGCTAGTTGACCTTTGGGGTAAGCTCAGCAATGCTAAACAGGGCTCTCTTTCCTCCCTGGTGTCCCCATCCTTCTGTCCTCTGGGCCATCCTTGCAGAAAATCATTTTCCTTGAACTGAAATTCCCTTTCTGAAGGTTCCAGGAGACTTTCTGTGCTGGGCTGTTCCTCCCCCTCCTTTCCAAGGGTGGCTCCCTGGGCGTTGGTGCAGTTTGCTGGGCTTTTTAGGAGTCTCTTGGGTGTTGTGGAAATGGGAAGGCACAGATTGCTCTTGGATTCCTGCATCACAACTCGCTCCTCGGGCTCTGCCTCCAGCTCCTCTGCTGTTCAGCCCTTTGGTCTGTATTCCATGTGGCGAAGCTGTACTTTTAGCGTCCTCCTTGCCCCAGGCAGCAGCAATGGGCTTTTGCCTCTTTTACCTCCTTTTTGACCATTCCTCTCCCCATCTTTCTCCTTTAGAGACCAAAGGAACACAAGTCCCTAGGGACCGATTCATGCCAGCCTGTGCGGAAGGCGGAATAAAGCAAATCCTGGGTCTGCCTAGGCTGTCTGCTAGAAATAAACTCCAAAAGCCACAACCCTTGGGTTGTCCCCCACACCTCAGCAGCAGAAGGGTTAACAGGGTTCGCTGTTGCAGTGTCTGTTTTCTGATCGCTTGCAGATGAACGTGACTCCCGCTTTCTGCGCCTTGTACAGAAGGCACCTTGCAGGCTGTGGTGTGCGCTCAATTGCTCCTCGCGTGCCTGCTTTCCTTTGCTTCATCGTTCGGCTTTCTTACCGCAGCCAGGCTGCAACACGAGTAACATAGAGGCAGCGGGAGAAACACAAGAGTGTGTTTCCACCAGACAGCAACCTGCACGAATGTTTTCTCCGTGCTTTGGCTCTGAAGGTTGTTAGATTTCCTGGTGTAGCAGCTGCCTTCAGAAGTTGCTTGAGCTCTTTCTCTCTGCCTCTTCCACCAAATGCTTGCGAGCTGATTTTTCTACGTGGAAGCATATTTCTGGTGACCATCAGGAGCATCTGCTGAGAAATCACGGTCAGCACAGTCAGTCCTTGACCTCTGTGATCTGATAATGCCGTTTCTTTTCTTTACCTAACCGGTTTTGATGAGCGGAAGGGGAAATGTGAACGGTAACAGAAATATCGGGGAACTACAGAGGCGTCTCTGTTTTCTGCTGGAGGATGCAAAGCGTGGATGCTTTCAGTATAATGGTTTTATTGTGGTGCCAGCCTCTGGCATGTGTTGTCCTTGCTGGGCTTGTGCTGGAAATGGCAAGAGCAATCAGCTGATGACCTGCCCATCACATGAGGCAGCATTGGGTTTAAAATTCAGCTCATCTGATCAGTAAACTTATTTAGGGTGCTGATAGCTTGGCACTTGTGAAAAGAAGAGGCATAAATAAAAAAAACAAAGGGCAAACTTTCATTTCCTGCACCTGCTTTTCTTCCAGGGTCACAGAGCACAGCGATCTTGTGCCATGCCTTCCAAAATGGCTTTGAGAATCTAATCTTCTCTAAGACATTGTTGCTAGGAAGAAAAGACCAGAAATTTAAGCAAAAAAAACAGATCAAAGGAGGAGAGGTTGGTTTCTCCCTAAGGATATATTCAGGTCAGTTCACAATGATCCTAAGTTTTGATTAGATTAATTAAACTCTTGACAGAGTTCCCCAAAAGGGCTGTCATCTTATCTTGAGTTTCTGGGTTAGCATCCACTGACCCAGCTTGCTCAGTGTGTCTGCAAGGCTGGCTGCACCTTCCCTGCCTGCCTGCAAAAAAAACCTAAACCTAAACTTGATGGGGGAAATGATGTTTTGAAATGTGTTCAGCTTCCAGGCCCCAGCCATTTGCTGCTGCCTTGTCTCACCCTCTGGGGACTCCCTTGGCAGTCCAATACTTAAGATAGACTTAAGCTGGAGTGTGAAGTGGGTTTTGGAGGTGTAGATAAGGATGCTCGAGCTCAGGTTGGGAGCCAGGAAAAGCAAAGATGCTTTCCACTGGTTTTACTCTGTCAGTTATCCCTGATCTCTTTCATAGCCAAAACCCTTCTCTGGATGGCGCTTTGCTTTGAAGGAGGAGCGCGGGGGGATAACCGGAGTGGGGATTACAGTCTGGAGGCTGAAGCTTTACGTACAGAAGAGCAGCAGCGAGCTGTTTTCTCATCCGCCAGGAAACCAAGAGACGCGCATCGCCCGAGGAAACACAGGCCTTTCGTATTTGCCCGGCGAGTGCCGGCTGCCAGCAGCCGGAGCCGCGTCCAACGTCAGGCTTGCAAGCAATCCCCCCTTTCCCCCATGCTGGTGTCAGTTCCCCCTATACAGATTTGAATGGAGAGGGGGGAAAAAAAAAAAAATCAGCCAATTTCCCTTCCCAAACCTGGTTGTGAAGGTTTTGGTGCAGCCTGGGAGGTGCCCGGTGGTGCTGCAAGAGGCGTTGTCTGAGCCCCAGGAGAGCTGGTTTCCACCCCTGCCTGCCTTGTCGGCTCTGGTGCGCTTAGGGTTGCTCGTGCTGGTGGCTGATTTGTCTGAATGCCCAAGAGGAAAACAAAAATCCTGGAATAATTTAGCTAGCTGGCTGTGCAGTGCCACGCAGCAAGATCAGGGGGGTATCTTTTCACTGAAGTGAAATAGCCTGGAGTTTGTTGTTGGAGTGTTTTATGGATAATTAACTCCAAATGTTACCAGCCGTGAAATTATTTGGTCATCTTAGAATCAAGTCGTTGGGTGGTTTTTTTATATTCTAGTTGCAGGGAACGTGCGCGGATCCACAAGCTTGGGCTAATTGTGCCCAAGGTGTTGTGGTTTTTTTTTTCCTCTGCCTGTTTATAAATCGCATATTTCTCTTTCAGTGGGTGTATAATATCCTGGAGAAGAAAGCTGAGGCCGATCGAATCATCCATGAAAACCCAGATCCTTGTGACGGCTTTGTTCTAGTTCCAGACTTTAAGTGGAATCAAAACCAGGTTCGTTTGCTCCCCTTATCTTTGAAGGGATGCTGCTTGTCTGAAGGTAATCCAGGGAAATGTCCACTTTCATGGCACTAATAGCATGCTAATAAAAGTTTTAGTAGGGAAATGTGTCCTTCCTGTTCACGCTGTCATTAAGTGATGATATTGCAGAGGCCTTTTATCACGTGCTAATTGCGGACACTACAAAACACAGGCTGTTCTCACTGCTGCTGGGTGATTTATTTATTAGCTTCCTTTTCTCTTTCCTGTATTAGCCCAAATGTTGTCATGATGTGTTTGAACCTAAATCCAGCTGCGCATTTGTTCCTTCTGAAAATGTTTGGGGTGTTTTTTTTTTTTTTTTTTTTCCCAAGCCTCAACTTTAGGCGCAAACTGGGCAGATGTGTTGTCCTTCAGTTGTTGTAATTAACTCTCCTCCACACAATATTAAACAGATGGTCGTTAGCTTATGAGCAGCTGCTTAACCCCTCGTGGGAGTGGCCATTCGTTGAAACGCAGAGGTTTTTAAGCCCAGGCTGTAATTCTCAACTGAGTGGCTCATTATTTCCTTGGAGTCCACCTCCCTTTCGGGCTGTACGTCAGGGGAGGTGAAACTCCACATGTGCACCCCTTGAAGTCGATAGAGTCAAAAAAAAAAAAAAAAAAGAAAAAAAATCCCTTTCATGTTTCTGATCCTCAAAATGCTTCTGTACATGGTGGTGGGAAAAGTTACTGTGTGATTAAAACTTAGAAATGGGAACTAAAAGCTAATAAAAAGGGAACACAAGCCTGCTTGTGGGTATTTCTGTGCTGGGAGCACTTATTTCTGGTCTGGTGCCTGGGGGGGGGGTGACTTGGGGAGGACAGGTGAGTAAGTCACTGCAGGGTGGGTAGGCTCTGGTTACCACGAATTCTTTGCGCATCAGCTACTTCAAAAATCCCTTGTCAAGCTGTGATGGGGTAACTGAGCTCGAATTTCCACTTGTTTGCATGATTACGCCACAGCGCCTTGTTCAGTGCCCTTTACTTTCAGGGTGGCACTATTTAGGAATCCTTCTTAAGTGCAGCACACCGCCCCTTTCCTTGCTTTGAGCAAAGCCTCCGTGTGAAGCTTGCGGCGAGCGAGGATTTACCACTTGCCTCAGGATTGGAGACGGATGGGCTAAAAATTGCGCTTTAGCTTTCTCTAGAGACCAGTTTTATCCACGCCTGGCAGCTAGCGTGGTCAGGGAGCGCTTAAATAGCGGGGTTTGTCTTTAGGGGAGGTTCCCCATGCCGCTGTTGCCTGTTGGTATGCCGAACAGGATTTTCTTGATTTATTTTTTGCCACCCCCAAGGCTGGGCTGCTGTCTGCAACAAGAGAGCCATCATCCCCAGGGTTATCCGGGATTTTGCCTGTCACTTTCCCAGCATCCCAACAAGTGCTGTTGACTTCTGCCTTTGAGCCAAGGAATTTCTTCTTGGCTGTAGGTGATGCCGAGCCAGAGCTGATCCTGGTAGCCCTGGGGCTGCCCATGCGCAGCCGGTTCCTTTTGCTGCATCCCACCAAACAGGCAAGGCTACTCTGTTAAATTAGGGGAGTGAGATAGAGCCTCCTGGCCGGGCTCTCCAAGCCTCCCCTTAGAAGTCCCTTCAACAGCGTTGCCTTGCACGAGCTCAGCACCTTGCCCGCGAATTCACCTGTAATTATTTCAGGCTGATGGATGGGAGGAATATTTCTCACTTGCTGCTGGCCTCGACCTCCTGGGTGCTACATCAGCTCCTGCTGCCCAACCTGAGAGCGGTTGGAGTTGGTTTTTTGTTTGGTTTTCTTTTTTCCCCACTTTTGAGTTGGTTTCCAACCCGCAGGAGCCCTGAGGCGTTGCCTGAAACGATGCCCGGCATGACATCATTCAGGGCCTTTTTAGCAACAGGCGTATTTGTTTCAAACAGCAACATGCAGATGTTGTTCTAAGGAGAAGAGATGTTTGCTTTTCCTCCTGCCAGCCAGCACTGATCCAAAGAGGACAAGCTGATACGCTGTCTTTTTCCGGAGCTGTGCACAAGGCTGCTTTGGGAATCAAACTGAACCACGAGCTGGCTTGGGTGCAAATAACAGCTTCATGTTTCGAGGGTCCTGAGAGCATCTTTTGGCACAAGCATCTGTTTCCAAATAGCCAGATGGGTTTCTCACAGCCCTCAAAAGATCCGCTGGGTCTTAAATATCTAAACCTGTTGCTTTGCAGTGTTTGTATTAGAAAGCCACTAACTGAGCTGAAAGAGATGGGGATTTTTTTTATTTTTTTTTTTAAAAGTGTAATGATCCACAACCTTACGTCTTGTTAAACGTTGAAGTTGGTAAGTACTTCAGGGAGATGCCAAAGATCTGGCTGAGAGCTGCTGAACAGCCATATTTTACTGCACGAGGGTTGCCTGGTGACTGATTAGGTCTTGAAAATAGTTATTTGTAGATCTGGTGCAACTAGAAAGCGGCCAGCTATTTGCAGAGTGGAATCTAGGAAGCTTTTCACTCGGAAAAATCTACAGTTGCAGTTTTGGCTGCTGCGATTCACTGTAAATCCTCGTCTGAGCGTGGAGATAAACCGTTTGCTTACTCAGCATGGCGTGGGGGTTGCTGGCAGACCCCACAGCGTCCCGGGCTCGGGCTGTTGGGTGCCTCAGTTTCCCCCACGTAGCGGGGTGGGTGCCAGCACCTTTTCTGCCAGCCTCCGTCTGCACTGGGACGACGTTTTTGAGATGCGAATGTGCAAGGGCAACAGCGAGTGCTGTGTTTACAGTAGAAAAGAGCTGATGGATCAATATTTGTGATCCTGCTGTTTATTAATTGGGGTGACAAAACCCAATTTGTCCAGAAATAATGCTTTGAGGTGCCAGTGTCTTTCTGGCTGAGGACATCTCGTACTGGGAGAATTATACTGGATTCAGCCCAACTTAAACCACGATGGCAGGTTGCCTGGAAAGCTGTGGTGGTTGTTGTGAGGTCCAAAGTGCTCGTGCCTCCATCTGTTCTTTCTGTGGTCGCCTTCATCACCGTCCTCCATCTCTCTGCAGCTGGACGACCTCTACCTCATAGCCCTCGTGCATCGTCGGGAGGTGAAATCACTTCGGGACCTCACCGCTGAGCACCTCCCGCTGCTGAGGAACATCTTGCAAGAAGGGAAGGTAAGTGCAAGGCTGGTCTGACACCGGGGAGAGCTGCAGGAGTTGAGCCCTGTCCTCCCCGTATTGATAAATTCCTTCCCAACCCCTTGATCGTTTTCACCAGCTGACGAGTTTTTTCCAGCCCCGTGACGGGACATGTTTGGTAGATGGATGCGCGATAGCTTCTCTTTCCTTTGCTGTGTTAGAAATTGGGAAAGTAATTGCACTGGGGAGAGCGGAGATTAATTAAGAGATTAGTCAGGCGATTGCAGCGTGCTGAGCAGTGAACCAAGCCAGCGTGCCAGAGTTCGCCGTTGCTGTTTATAGCTTTAATTACACCAGTGGGTAACAGGATCCCTGTAAGTTGCCGAGTGAGCCGAAGCGATAAGGGCGGAAGGGAAGACGATACAAGCGGAGAGTATGCCCCGTCATGGAGGGAGAAAAGTGGGGTGGCCGGAGGCGTCGCTCCATCCCTGTGGAGGCTGAAATGGAGGACGGGGAAGAGCTCTGTCCTTCCCAGCTTCTCCCTCTCCCTTGCCATGAGGATGGAGGAAGCAGAAATCACTTCTGTCTTTCTCTCCACCTTTTGTGCCACCCGGGGATGCTCTTCCGTCCGTCGCAAGGTCGGTCGGTCTGTCCGTGCGCTGCCTGCCCCCCCCAGCTGCCCCATGCCCTCACGTGTTGCTAGTCCTGACCCGGAGGGGTTTTTTTATTCCCTTTAGGAGGCTGTAGCAAAGCGTTTTGGTGTGCCTGGATCCCAGCTGCGAATCTACCTGCATTACCAACCCTCCTACTACCACCTCCACGTGCATTTCACCGCCCTGGGCTACGACGCCCCGGGCAGCTCGGTGGAGAGAGCCCATCTCCTGACAGACGTGATTGACAACCTGGCGATGGACTCCACGTACTATCAGAAACGGGCTTTGACCTTCGCCCTTCGGGCTGATGAACTTCTGCTTAAGAAATTCCAGGAGGCAGGAAGAGTGTGAGCTGGCAGAGGTGCTTTTGTATCTTTTTATTTTTAATAAATGCCCATTGTCAGGATTGTTTTTTTTTTAAAGGTTTTGGTGCTTTTATTTTTTTTAACTCTGATTTTGTACAAATTGGGGCTGACGGCCCATTGCTATGGAAACCATGTCTTCTGCTCAAGTCAATTAAAACATTGATTGAGTAACACGTTTTAGCGTGCTGGTTTTTACCAGGGTTGTAGTACTGGACCAGGCACCTCTGGGATGCAGCGAGCAGAGGGGTTTGGGCAGGAGGGTCCGTGCACATCCATCTTTTCCACCCAGAAAACAACCCCTGCCTCCAAATATCAGCCCAAATGGGGGAGCAGGCAGCTGGGGGGGTCCAAGAAAACTCAGAAAGCTTCACTTATTTCTTACGGACTTACCCCCGGGAGCGGGATATCAGTTTTCCTGGGGTAGGGAGGGGTTTCTTGCTCCAAAAGAATGAAATGACTTGAGTCCTCACCCCTCCCCGTCAGCTGCTGTGGGCTCTGCGAAGGCAAAAGTGACTGTGCATGCTGCCTGATTCCCCAGCCTCGGAGCCATCTCCACTACCCTGCTAATTAGTCATATATCCGGCTTAAAAGGGCAGCCCCTCCCTGACACAGGTTTCTCAAGGTTTTGCAAGGATTCTTCAGCCTGCTCGTTAAAAATTAAACTATAAAATAAATAATCCTGCTCTTCCTTCTGCCTTCCTGCCGCTGGAGGATTCCTCCCAATGACTTTGCTGCCACTTTCCAGCTCTGGCAAGGGTGTTTTTTTTTTCTTCCTCTTTCAGTGAGATACCAACTTCTTCCTCACTGCTGGACTCTGTTTGAATGGGCCTCGTGCCGTGACCTCCTGAGAGCTGCCCGTTACGGTGGGAAAAACAGCTTTCTACGTACAGGGAGAGGTTTAGTCCGCCGAGCCAGCTGTTGCTTCCCCTGCATCTTCTCCGCCAGACACCGATCTCTGAAAACTTCATGAGTTCTTGCTGCCAAAAAGGGTTCTGGTTTCTGGTCAGCCGGTAACCAGGGATGTAATTGCAGGAATCATCTCGCCGGCTACCCTAGTAATTTATTCCTTTCAACACATTGGGCTCTAAGGGTTGGTTTGGGGTTGGTTTTTTTTGCTGATGGTGGGGGAAAAAAAAAAAAAAAGAGATGTGATTTGTTTCCAGGGCTGCTCAGCGTGCCACAGTGCTGCCCTGTGCTGGAGCAGTCCAGAGCCAGCTGGATTGCAAGTAGTATCATCAGAGACGCCTGGAGCTTTGCTGGGCTCATCCGATTAATAAATATTCAGGTCAGGCAGTTCCCTGGTACCTTTCAGCAGTAGGGGAGAGAGAGAGCACCTGGATTCAGCCACCTTTTCTTATTTCTCTGCAAAAATGCAATATGTGGGGAGAGAGCTGTGGCAGGGGAGGCTTTCCCTCTTGTTTCAGATCAAGCCACCTCCTGAGCTGAGCGTGTCTGGGGACAGAGGTGATGCAGGAGCTGGGGAGCTGCTGCAGGAGTGGATCTGGAGATGGTTAGTGCGTTTGGCTGTCCCCTGGCTCTTTGTATCCCTAGGATTTCAGTTGCTAAGGGAAAGGGATGATTTTTGTTCCATATCAGAGTGTTGTCAGTGCCAAGAGGTCTCCCTGGGTGAGGGACCACCATGGTTTTATGCGCCCACCCAGGGCAGCCCAGGAATGGAGAGACGGTTAAACAGCAGATGGGACCATCCTGTCACCCAGGAAGCTTCCCTGTTCTTCAGGTATTAAAAAAAAAAAATTATAAAAAAATCCTGTCTTGAAAATAGACTTTCTGAGGGCTGCGCCAGACGCCCAAGCAGCACATCTTCTGCAGACCATCTGTCTGCTCCCGCCAGAGGAATTGTTTCTCCTGGTAGACGTGGAGCCCAGACCAGGGGCTGTCCCTGCCTGCCCCAAGAGAAGAGGGCAGGGGGGGATGCGTTTTGGTGGCTGTATGGCTGGAGCCTTCAAAGGATTTACTGAAGGCCTGGGGCCAGCTTTGCTAAGCCAGACAGCGTTCCTAGGCTGTGGGGTGAGGAAGGGTGAGCCTGAGGTGGTCGGCAGGACAAAGCCGGCTTGTGCTGGGCATGAATCGCCCCATTCTTGTCCCTCTGGAGCAGATGCCGCGAGCCTGGCCGAGGGCATCCCCCTCCTCCTTTATTAATAGATCTGTGCCCGGCCAGGGACTGCTTCCCAGCTTTGCTAAGCCAGACAGCGTTCCTAGGCTGTGGGGTGAGGAAGGGTGAGCCTGAGGTGGTCGGCAGGACAAAGCCGGCTTGTGCTGGGCATGAATCGCCCCATTCTTGTCCCTCTGGAGCAGATGCCGCGAGCCTGGCCGAGGGCATCCCCCTCCTCCTTTATTAATAGATCTGTGCCCGGCCAGGGACTGCTTCGTCCTATAGTCGCCCTTTCGGGAGCGTTTGGGCCGCGGCGCGATGGCGCGAGGCCATCCCGGGGTGGCAAAATCTCTGCTCGTGCACTCGTGGGGCAAGAAAGCACGGCGGTCCCTCGCTGCCGCAAAAGGACGTTTTCTGAACTGTTTTATTGGTGTGATTTCCAAATAGCTTTGGACTGGGTGATGGCGGAGCTCATTACAAATTCTCTTCTCAAACAGCCAGGATTTTTTTTTCCCCCCCTTTTTTCTTCTCCAAATTACTCGGCACTCATCATGCTGAATTAATCTAACTGGCAATTTATCCTTTGTAAATTAAATATTAGGGCAGGGTGTAGTCATTAGCGATGACTAACTATCCAGCAAACGCTCGTGGCGTTCTGCTAAGACAGCAAATACGCTTGCAAAGCGCGGTATTTTCCGGTCGTGTCGTCTACTGGAGCCACAGTGGCCACTGGAAGCTCTTTGCTGGTCTTTGGGTCCACCCAAGGGGTCCCTTGGGAGATGGGTGACCCGAGGAGACGTGAGGAGGCAAGGCAGGCACCCCGTACCCGCCCCGCGGATGCACGACTGAGATGTCCTGAGGTTCCTGCAGGGTGGACACAACTGGGGGTCGCTGCTTGGCGTGGGATCCCTAAAGTTTCCCCAAACCTTGGTGAAGCTCAAGCCGCAGCGCTGAGATCTCTCGGCGTGGAGATCCGGGCAAGGCGGCTCCAGTGGGGACGTGGAGCTGGAGCAGCCCCCTGACGCTGCGTCTGCGTCTCTTCTGCTCTCGGTTCCATTGATGCTGCCGTGGTGGGATGCTCCGGGATGGAGTCCATCACCCCAAAACCATCCAACCATCACCAGCAGGAGGGAGCTGGAGACCGAGAAGATCCTGGGAAGTGAAGCTTTGCAGCCTCTTTTAATATTCTGTCTTGGGGGCATGGTAAAAATAGACATTTGGGATGCATTATTATTGCTGGAGTTTTATTGAATGCTGTTTATTGTTTTCAGATGCAATAAACCTGGCAGGGGAACCCAAGAGACCGAAGGGTCTAAATATCCTTCAAGCAAATCCCAGCTCCCCCCACTGAGCTGTGGCCCCAATAATTACCCCGGGATTGTATGAGCTGGTGGCAATTAAAACCTAATTATGGTGGGCTTGCCTGTCACCACGGGTAAAACTCTCTGCCCCGTTACCTCGCATCTCGCCGGCAAGGAAACCCCATCCTGGGTAGGTTGAAGGACAAAGCCAGGAAAAAAAATTGATGCGGTTGCTCAATTAGCCTTGGCAATACTGGAGCCATCAGCTCAACGAGTATTTTATCAATTAATAGCGTTGGTGATGGACACGTCGGTCTTCAAGAGGGGCTGGTGCCTTCCAGGTTCCCGCTAGCTCTTGCTTTCCAGCCCAGTAAAGGGGAATAGACTTCGCTGCCTTCAGCAACGAGCTGCCTGCGACCGGAGCCAATGTTTCACGTTATTTCCCATGTAAAAATCAGCATTGATATCCGTAATTATCTCAGGGATTGGCAAAACCCCACCCTGGCGCAGGAGGGATGGATTTTGGACTGTGAAAATAAACACCTCGAGGTGCTGATTTTGGGTACCGTGATGATGGGATGGAAATGAAACCCCACGGGAGATGGCCGGGCACGGGCCGTTCCTGCGGTGGGAATTAATTTCTGCAGGGAAAAAAAACCACCCCAAACCCGATATTGAGTTTTTTAAGCCAAACCTCTGAGCATCGTCTGGTGGTGCTTCGGCCGGTGGATTCCATGGGGGCACGGCCTGAACCCGGCGGGG